ATTATCTGACGCTGATTGCATCAGTTGCTGAAATGTGATTTAAATGGCATTTTTATAGTTCACAGGTGCCGGTTGGAGATGAAACATCTGTTTATTAATATCTCCTGGCTTCTTTCTTATTTTTTGCCCTGTTGGTGAGCCGCCTGACACACCTGTCGCTTGAAATTTTGCACCTTGAAAAGGCGGAAAAGTCAGATTTTCATTTGTTAATGTCATAGTTATAAATGCCACATTAAAAGAAACATTATAGGGAAAGAAATGAGAAAAGAGAAGTGAAAAAAGGTAGATAATGAGACAAGGGAGGAGGCTGTAGAGGTGAAGGTGTCAAACAGAGAGAACATCCTTCATGCTGTTGCCAGTTTGACACGCATGTCTGATCTGTGCGTTTCCTGTCATCCAGGTCAAACGGGTTAAAAGAAAAGCAAACACTTCAGGGGAACTAACAAACTCTCACTGACAGCCACAGAAAGAGAGAAAGCTGAGAGTGCAGTGGTTGTCAATGTGGGGTTGGAGAGTTTTTGAGTGTGTTTGAGAGCAAATGTGGCAAGTGTTTAGTTTCAATTTGAATTAAAAGAAAACACGCCCAAGTGGAAAATGTAATAACAGCGACTCTAGTGGTCTATAAGGCGTCGACAATGAACCAAAATATACAGTTTGATTTGGCTGGGGACTTTTGCTGCATACCAATCTCCATTTGTCTCTCCCTTCATTTCCCGTAATTTCTCTGAAAGACCATATTAAAAATGGACATATAAACAATTTCACCCTGAATCAACAAATGAAATCTTCATGGGTCTACTTGGTCCCTTGTAACCTGAAGCCAAACCCATGACCTGAGTCTGGCGGAATCAAAATTCAAAAGTCCTTTGAGACATATATTCTTTTTTTTTGAGGTGGCTGCTCGTTAATTTGTGGAGCATCATGCTGCTGACAGTGTTGGTGTTCTGGTATTTCATGTCGCCTGCATTTTGAATTAAGTCCTATTATCCCCTGGCCCTTTTCAGATTGGGTCGTTTTTGTTTTTTTTTGAAAATTACTTAATGCAAATAATTAATGATGGCAAACGTTTTCCACAGGTTCCTTTTAGATCAAAATCCTGGACCCATGAAGACACCAACCTGGGACCAAATGTCAAATGGCTCTTTTTTGTGTCTAATAGTTTTAATAGAACCACTGACTCCAACATACATTACAGAGACTGATTGAGTAAAGTTGGTACAAATTTTTGAACAAACTTTCAAAAAAAATCTCAGATTGAATCTCTGTTATCCTTTAATACAAACACGTTCAGAAAGCAAGTGGCTAACTGGGAGTTAGCTTACTGGACTCTCACTAGATTGGTTTGATCCTATCAGGCTAAAGCTCTTAGCAAAAGATAGTGAGTCCATTGAGAACTGGCCTGATTCCCCTTTAAATCTCTGCAGCATCTACCTTCGCCAAACACTGGCCTGTCTGCACTGATTTGACAGGAGTGCTCAGATAAACTGGTGCTACAGTACACAGAAAGAAAACTCTGTGGCTTTCCTCGTAAAACAAAACGAACACTTTAATACTGCATTGTGCTTGGAGGCCATACACAGAGCTGGGTTTAAACAAATGAGACCACTTTTGGCTGTCATCCGTGAGCTGCTGTTCTGGCACGAGGGAAGAGTTTTTGTTTACGGGATGAATAAAAGAAACAAACAGCGTTCCTCGAGGTCCAACTAATCCTGGCTTTACATAAATTAAAAAGCGGGAGAAATGTGTGGACAAGTGAAAAGAGTGCAAACATGCTCTGACTACCAAGTCAACAAACTGTGAGGAGACAAAAAGAGGGCTGCCGGCAGGAGTCAAGGACGGAGCAGTTCAACACTTCTGTTGGATGACGTAGAAAACAAAGTTGTAGATACAGTACAGATACAGATTTTTGTCAAAAATAGTCTTTGAATAAATATGAGCTCAAGAAAGGCCTTTCCCTCGCCAAACATAGAGACAGTAATAAAGTTCCTCTGTGGATTTGGCTGAAGTGTTCTTTGCTCATCAGAAGAGTCACTTTTCACTCCAGCAAGGACAAGAGCTCATCAGTCTCTCTGTTCCCAAAGCCTGTCGTCTTGTTCCTGCCAGCATGACTGACAGCTACGCTCCCAATCCTGACAAATTGAAAGCTTGCCCCTGAACTAACCTCAACTTTTGGTTTGATTTCGTGTTTACATCCTGACATGTCCATGATAAAGACAGACTTAGAATTTCAATCTGTTGAATGAAAGGAGGAAAGACTGTTAAGATTAACTCCCTGATTCTGTTACAGAACTCCCAAATCTCAAATTGAAATTCAGCAACAGAGAGCTGGGAGGAGATTTTGGGAGTTTGTGTGAAATATATGGATAAGAGGTCTGTGCATGTAGTAAGAAAAGGCTGAAAAAAGAAGAAAATGGAAGATTTTAGGGGATAAGAGTGTATGCATGAGTATGCATATAAATTAGAGATTATGTTCACACAAAGACATGTATAACAGGGTGTGACCAATAGGGGTTACTTAAGGTGATACAACATTATTAAGGTGTGTTCAGACTGCATGTGAAGTGAACTACCATCTCACTTTGTTCACGTAAATTTGACTGCAAGTAAACTACACTTTAATGGCAGCAAACAGACAATAATTGTGACAGTTACAGACATATAGCCTAACTGACGATGTGCACTGACTCTGAGTGTGTGAGACAGTTTGGACTGATTGCCTCTGTACATTCATACAGCTCCACAGGTAAGGGATTAGGAAGTTGAAACCTAAACTGGAAGTGTGATCCACGACCGTCTGATGATGTTGACACTTGGTACAACAAAGTGAAATAATTGTAAATAAATAATTTAATAAATAAAATATATAGGCTATTTCTTGAAAATTATGTTAGAATAGACACAACGAATCGAAGGGGAGTGTTCTTATAGCAACTTATCCATTGTAATAAATGAATAAATATATGTAACTTATGGCTCTTGGCCACTAGAGGCAGCACTGAGCACATAGCACACCAGTCAATGAACAACAGAGAAAATTGTTAGTTTAACATGGTAAGTATTCAGTAATGTTATCCACCCACAGACTGTATGAACAAGTGGACATAGCTACCGGGTCTTAAGAGTGAAGAAAACAGAGACAGAGTGCGAATAAGTCCCGCCCACACTGGATTGTGGAACAATTCATTGCTCTCCGTTGACTAAGCTGCTGTGTGGTGGGATGCACTACCAACAGGATAAAGAGCCCAGAACTAAGTTTAAAGAGCTGCTGAACCAGAAAACTGAACCTATGATGTGAGGCATCAGCAGAAAGAACGGGAAAACTGTGGGATCCTGACACTCATAAATAAGTTCCAGTTGCTAATTTAGCCTGACAAACTGTAGCAATTGGAGCTAATTAAGATATATAATTCCTGGTTTTGATCTTTGTCTGTTTAAATGATGATCTTGCCTGATGATTCCATCATATAGTTTTATACTTTTAGCCATTCAGTGCGAATGTTTCTCCACGATAAACAATATAAGGAAGAGGGACACTGGGACAGGCCAAAAATATTGACTTTGTCAATACACCTCTTCCTCTGCGGTAGACATAAATTGTGAAAATAATCCTTTGACTGCTTTTATTTTAGCTAGCTACAGGCATTTTGTTAGTGTTTCAGCCCCCAGACTGGGGCACCAACTGTTTTTTCTCTGCTGTGGGCGTGGTTTTCAGAGAGCCATACATTGCGCTCTGTCTCTATGTGGAACTGCCTTAAACCTGCATTCTTTCTAATGGCTAGCAGGGGGCGACTCCACCAGTTGCAAAAAATAAGTAAGATTGTTCAAGTCTATGACAAATTATCCTGGTTCTCATTTGATTTATTACCTCAGTAAACTCCTGATGAGTTTATGGTCTCAATCTTTAGTTTCAAGTCTTCTTCAATACAGGGTGATGTTCATTTTGTAAATTGGGATCCCAATTCAGAGGAAAATAGACGATAAAGCAGGGTATGTTTTTGGGCGCGGCTACCGCAGCGACCTGTCTATCAGGAGAGAGGCATAGCAATGAGACCCACCCCTCACTCCTCCCCAGCTCCACCCTAAATCCAGCCACTCAAGGCTTCAAAATGGCAGTCCACAAACCAATGACTGACATCATGGTGACTATGTCCACTCCTTTTATACAGTCTATGAAGCCACCTCATTTATATCAAAGTAAATCCTGTTTTTTTGGATTAGCATCAAGGTTACCAAGATTGCCTTGCCTCTGGTGAGTTAAAAGTTCTAGCCTAACAACGCCTGAGTGGCTGATATGTTCAGGATCCCTACGATAGCCAATTATGGCCGTGATATGTACTTTGATCAGATCAGGCCTACTCAAGCTGTCACCTCAGTTGTTTGCTGTCTGCAGTAAATTTGCTTTTATTATCTGTCTATTTGAATCTTTCTTTTCTCTTATATGCAATTACAACTATACAGTATTACACCAATATATTGGTGTAATACTGTATGTATAACTGTGCACATCTGACAGAGGTTAGGTCGCTACATGGTTATTCCTACAGGGTAGTTTGAAGTGAATGGACAGAAACACGTACAAAGGCTGTTGACTCTTCAGGGGAGCAGCTTAGTACGTTACACTGCTATTTCATCTCCCAGACAGTCAGGAGTTCCCTGTCTGTTGAGAACATTGAGCAGCCTCAGTGTTTCTTCGTCCCTCCCCCAGCCAAAGATCTCCATCTCCTCCTCCTCATCGTCCTCCCCCTCATCCTCATTGTCATCACTGTCGTCTGTGTTCGACTCGTACTCTGAGGCTATACCTGACTCACGAAATCTTGCAGCAAAGTCCAGGCAGCCCAGAGATTTGACGTCACGGGACAACAACTTGCCCTCAGGCGCCTCTTGACCATTGCTCTCTGGCCTGTCAGCCGTGAGCCGTGGGGGAGGAGAGGGAAGTTGAGGAGGAGGAGGCCCTGGGAGGAAACGGAAACACTCCAGTTTGAGAAGACACTGGTCCCTACCTAGGGGGCTTCCCAGAGTCCCGTTGGAAGATGAGAAGGCGTTGCCGGTCCCGTCAGTGGAGCCCAGTGCAGGCAGGTTGAGGGCGGACACATCAGGTTTGGGCGTTGTGGGGTCGCAGATCACTGGAGGTACTGTAGACCGGAAGGTGATCTCCAACAGACTGTCCTGAGATCCCACTGGAGAGAGAAGATAAGGAAGGAAGCAAAAAGTGATGAGTCAGCAGAGGGAGAGACGAGGAATAAAAGACAGATCAAATATTTCATACCACATTCAAAACTTCCACTGTGCCGTGATTTAAATTCACCTGCTATCACCCCTCCTGCTGGATGATGACAGAAGAATAATGTATGTGATATAGATATCTGTGAATTGTGGTGGAAAGCAGCTCCTCGGAAACTCCAACAAAATCAATCACTCAGTTACCAATAAATCAATTTTGTATTGGGTAAGCAAGAAAAAAACATGTTTCAAAGCATTTCATCATCATCAGGGCTGCTCAGTGAAACATGCTTCGCCTCTTTCTTTATGTGCACAGATATGGAGCTCAAATACTGAGAGAAAGATACATTAAAGGAACACTCTGTCTTCTCAGTATCAAAAACTAACCCCTAGCAAACATGAAAGATGAAAAGTTTGTAGTTCACTCCTTTGTGGAGGACGGCAGCTGTCGTAAGTTTGAATTCGCAGCAGTTACAGTGTTCTCAGAATCAGTAACAGCATTTATCAAAATATCCATAAAAACTTCTCAAACCTCTCCCGCAGTATAATCTGCTTCCTCTCTGTTGTGCAACTCAAATTTAAAGTCTGGGAACAGCTTGTGTAAAATCTGCAGCGCAGTTTTATCAGACACACGTGGAGCGTGAAAGACAAAAGTCAGGTTGAAACAGAGAGTGAGAGAGAAAAACTAATTAAAAGATGCATTACAAAGTTAGTGGGGATTCAGACTGAAAGCAGCCCTGTGTTAAAAAAGCTCAGGGGGGCTGCGTTGTTGGAGGCGCTTTGTTTAAGGTACCGGTGAGACAGTGAAATATGATCCGGGAAGTCCAGCTGGAGTAACTTGTTTAATAGCTTATCAAACTCATTAAAATGCAGCACAAATGTTTGTATTACTCACAGACAGGATTCCACAACTCTGAAAAGTTCCATATATTTTCCTTTAAGAGGCTTTCAAGTGGTCAAGCACTGAACTGGACTTAAACCTCCTGCATGGGATCCCCCTACCTCCTTTAATCTGTAGCCAGACCACGTTTCATCTGTAAAATTCTACTAAATGCTGTAAAAATATTGTGAAATAGACCTTTTCTCATTGCGGACATTGTGTTAGCAGAAAAAGGACAGGTGTAACTAATAATGTTAATGACGGCTCCTTTCCATTCAGGTGTGCACAGTCCCAGCACTCTGAAACTGACACAGATGACTTACAGCTATAATTGAGTTATTAGTTTTGTACCTGTGTTTGACAAGTCAAAAATGTGTCATGAAGAAGGTCTATTGCTGTAAATTGGTTAAAATGTTTGACCATTGCATTTCGTTTGTTGAATATTTTGAGATTTCATTGTATATTTGGTGTTCAAAGAACAGTTTTCCTGACCTTGTGCAAAATGAGGTCCATTTTAATGTCTGACATACACCACGACGACGACGTGGCAACTGGATAACATTTTTCCCCACTCAGTTTGTGAAATGTTGGCTGATAAGACAACAGATTGCCTCTCACAGGGTGATGATTGGAGGGCAGGCTGGACTGCGATAGTGCTGAGAAGATTGTCTCATTCTGAATAGTCAATGAACAGGCAAAAAAAAAAAAAACATGTGTGAAGCTGTGAGAGAGAGACGGAGAAGACAGAGGAGGTCGTGGACAAAAGAACGGCGAACAGAACGTGTGTGGTGCATGATAAACAGAGCGGTGAGGGGTTTCATACTGATACGTAGAAGCTTTAATGCAGGAATTTCCATTCAGAAGCTGTGTGTTTGCAATACTGTCACTCTGCCTGCTGTCTGTGTGAGTGTATACAGAGCTGCTCTCTCAGTGTGTAGGTCAGGGTTAGTGTGGCTAAATGAGAATTTTACGCAAACGTGACTGTGTGTTGTCCTAGAGGAGTCGTTGGTGGCTTAGGACGCTAAACTCTAATATGTTCAAACTGTTTCAACAACAGCATGGTTAGATGTGGTCAGGCTTAGGCACAAATACCACTTAGTTATAGTTGATAAGAGATCATGTTCTGTCTTAAAATAGCCCGTTTGGGGGCATAATCCCGGCAGGTAAAAAACGATGGCTTATTGTGGCACTATTCCTGGCGCCGGGTCACCACAAAACATCCATGATTGGAGCCTACAAGCCGATGGAAACAAAGCAATGACGAGCTAAAACACAACCGAATTTCTTGTTTGTTGTCCTCTAACAGTAGTACGCATCTTGGCGGCCGTCTCGCCTAAAAATATACAGTTATTGTCAACCGGTGGTCCTCTGCGACTTCTGTGATGTGCCGCAGACACCGCCATGTTTACGCCAGGTGACGGTACACAGAGCTTCAGAGAGCTGATAATGAAGGTGAGCAGTTGGGCAGCCAGGTGTCAGATCTTTGCAGAGCATCAGAACAAAAACACAGACAGTATGATAATGACATCCAAAACACAAGTCTCACTCTCAGTGTACTGTACACAGATTTGTTGTTCATGATGTGGCATTATCAAGGAAAACAATAGTGCAACCCCCCTGAGCCAACAATAGTGAGTTTACTGCATCATTTCAGATTTTAATGCATCAAGGACACTGGCCGCATACCTAGCAACATCACTGCATGTCCATCTTTTATTTCTTTTTTCCTATCGTCCTTTTCTTATTGTCCATGTTATCGTTTCATAATAGCACCTTTTGCCAACTCAGTTCTTTCCTGAGGGATACAGCACCCTACTTACAGCTGACTCAGTCAAGGTTTTATCTATATTGCTTCTGAGGAAGATTTCCTCTGGAGTCTTTCTTTGCCTGTGCTGAGGATTGGGATGGTTGATGGTGCCATTTAAACTAGGCAGGTTACTAAGGCTACAGCATGTCTCTCTAACATGTTACTTTGTCACTTGTCCTTTGTGTTTCCCCCTCTTTTAAAGGTCTTAGAGTGGCAGAAGAGGACTTTACATAAGCTTGAACTGAGCTTACATTACAGCTGAACTGTGTTTTATGTCATGCATGACTGCAGTGGGCATGTGTTGCTTGTAGACTATTTTATATCATATAGAAGTGTGAAATCTCTTGTTAAAATTAGGTGAGAAGTGAGACCTGGAGACAAGAGAACAAGTGAGTATTTTAGGTGTTTGTTAAATAACTTCTAAATGTTCTGAGATAAAAATAATAATTTGTATCATTTTTGCTCTGACATTACTTGAGTGAAAAACATCTTGCAGATGTATTCTACAATTTTCTATGATGATAATTATTATGATGCACAACGTGATACAAAGGCAGGAAAGACATGTCTTGACATTTTCTATTTTCTAAAATACTACATTTAGAGGACGGTGCTGTCTTGGCTGAGGTGTGTGCTATTTAAGTTCCTCTAGCTAATTGGATTTAATGAAGAATCACTTAAGATTGTTTTGACATATTTATTGCACAAAATGACTTAAGTATTCTTTTAAGTGAATGACTGATGGGCTGTTGCTCACTTATAAGCATATGCTTAATGTTTTTGTTGGATGTCTTCCTGCTAACTTGCCTCTTTACTTTACTGCGCCAAAACTGGATCAGAAATTGCTGGAGGGGATGAAAGGGATAAGGCGGTACTTTGTTACATTTCCTACGGGCTGCCAGTAGAGGCTGATGTGTGTCTCAAATCACAAGATTCATGTTACTTTATATAAAAATGTGTGTTCTTTCAACAGTGTGCCATACACGTCTGTTCCTCTGCATACACTTTTACATGTCAGCAAGCATTCCTTGTATTAACTCTAGCAAACAGTATGTATATGCACAAGTCTCATACTGTATGTGATCCACTCACTTGAGTTTGGTCCAGACATCTTGGTCTCCAGCTCCTGGATCTGTTTAACCAGCAGGGAGATGTGCTGCAGCAGGTCTTTGTTCTGCAGCAACAGCTGGTGGACTCGAGCCTGGGCCTCCAGCCGAGCTGTGGCCTCCGCGCTCAGCTGGTCCTTCAACAGGTGGACCTGCACAGGAGGAGGTGAGTCAAGATGGACAGATAGAGGAGGACAGAAGAGGAGGGAAAGGAACAGATGCTCAGTGCAGTGTGTACAGGCATTTTCCCCAGGTCATCGCTCATAAAATCAGCACTGCTACCCCTTATCTTAACTGCCCAAACACACACAGAGATACAGTACACACCACTCCACTTGAAGGCTCAAAAATGTGTTGTCCCTTCAAACACAATTTGCTTGTCAGGGAAATCAGGAGTGAGTGCTGTTTGCTTCAAATATTTGAGAGAAGATAACACCAAACAACGGACTGCAATGCGCTATCGTGTCCACCAAGCTTTAGCTGAGTGGATGTTTTTTCCTGTGTGACAAACTTTAAAAAGGGTGCTCTATGGGAACAGCAGATTGACATTCGGGCTCTGATAAGTCATCAGGTGTGGTGTAGCATAATAAAATTGTAAGTTTTATTTTCTGAAATCCTCGCTGTTTTACAGTACTTAATGAGGTGATGCCAAATTGTCTAAATGTAAGATATTCAGTCATTTAGCCATATTTCAATCAACAGAGCAGAAGCTTTTTTCCCAATATGTGAGAATATTGTTTTTGCTGTAATAAGGGAATAGTAAAGAAAAAGATTATCTGCTGAAGTGACATTAACCACAGATTCAGATGAACAGAGGACCATAAGTAAAGAATCGTGTTCTAAATTAGAAGTAATGACTTTGGAAACAATATCACAAATGCCAGACCAAAACTGCTGAATTTTAGTACACATGAAAAACTATGTCTCAATGTTGCCTCTGAGAACAGGAATCGATCAAATGTGGGAGAAACATCCACATACAGTAGATTTAGTGTACTAAATTATTACTGTGGTGAAATAAAACATTATCTTTCAGAGAAAATGAGCAAAATCGCTTTTGCAAAAGACATTTATTTAACAAATGCAGACTTTACTCAGGCTTTCACCTCGTAACTACATTGATCAGGAGATGAGAGGCTTTAGGATCTGCTGACTCAACTCAGCAGATGGCAGTGATTGATCAATCACATTGTACTTTTTACTGCCTGGTAATTAATCTAAGCAATGCTGAAGAAAAAACAGAAAACCTTCTGCTTGTTTTTCCAGTTGGAGGCAAACAGATCAATCAGTGACAATCCTGTGGGGATGTGTGAAGAAAACCTCACAGAGGAGCTCAGGCAGAGCCGCTGCCAGTGGTGCATGGGGCTGAAGTTAAAATCTGATATTTAATAAGATGGACATATGCTTCTTGTAGAGCATCAAGTTGAAGAAGTTTAAAATTAGATACCAACCAACCGACTAGATACATCTAGAAATGTTAGTTTAAAAACACATTTTTGATTCTCAAGCTAAAATGATCAGACGATTGCTGCCGTTTGAGGTTCAACAATGTAATGCACTTTGTTGATATGTTTTGTATATATATCGTTTCTTCGTCTTCTTCTTCTTCTTCTTCTTAAAGAGATGATCAACTATTTTGATGTCTAATAAAGTGTCAGCTATTCAGCAAGCAATTAGGATTACAATACATCTGACGGTTTTATAAGTAGAACTCTGTAAGAGCATTAGGTTCTCATTTCTTGAGCAAAAATATTAAAAACAACTCTTGTATTCAAACTGTGAAAATGTTAAGCAAAATTGTAATCTTGACCTTCATCATTTGAGTCACTTTTCAAGCAAAAATGTTTAACAATTTTTTGGTACCAGTGTCTTGGAAGTGAGCTTTGCTCTGTTTTATATCATTGTAAAATTCTACATCTGTTGATTTTGACTAAAAATAAAAAAAATAATTTGATAAAAAATGTTACCTTGGGCTTTTATTTTTTTCACTACTTTTAAGAAATTACAGGCAAAACAATTAGCCAGTTAATCAAGAAAATAATCAGCAGAGGAACTGATCATTAACTTACCATTACTCTTAGTTTTTTGATCTTTGATCTCTCCATATACACTTACAAAAATGCAAATACACACACTGGGGGGCTCCAAACTACTGAAAAAAACATGAGTGATAGATATTAGATCTTTGTAATTTCCATGGCTTTATATCCCTCTATTACGTTTTTATTACAGGAGCAGCTGAGCTCCAGTGGCTGCTCTGATCCTCGTGTAACCTTAATGCCACAGTCTGCTGTGGTCTGCAAGATTAAAGCAGAGACTCAATTTCAATTTAAGACTGAAAGGCTAAGACTTCTATAACACTCTGAATCATTTATATACGTGGGGAGTGAGGCAAGAGAGAAAGACAGTGTTCACTCAGTGCACACATGTCCAAATACACACATACACACACAGACACACAGACACACACACACACACACACACACACACACACACACACGCTCCTGCAGCTTTTGTAGCAGCAATGACTCCCCGTTTTTACTTCAAAGTACTCTCCAAATCAAATGTTAGTGGCCCCACCTCCCACCCCACTCAGCTATCTCCTATCCTGAGCACATAATTGCTTTCAACAATTTCAAAGGAGAAATTCTCAAGGTTTCAAATCACAAGAATGGTTCAGAAGATGCCTAGTGTGTTGAAGGAGCCCACTTACTAATGACTTTCTGACAGCAGAGGCTGCGTGGCTCTCAATAGTTTGATGAAGCTTAACCCTGGAGTTTGAACATGGTCCAGCAGGACTTCAGATGTCAGCTGTCTAATAGGCAAAGAGGTACTGAAGGAGACTATGTCAAACATCCTTTTATCCAATAACACTACATGCATGTTGAATAGTAAGAATCCAGAAGTGCTCTTTGCTGTTGACATTAAGGAGTTTCCTGCTTTTTCTAATGGCTTCTTGTCTGTAAACCACTTCCCATTCTGTTCTGAACATATAAATAGCTTAATCAATATTAGAGGGCGTCTGAACAGGTGCCCATAAAATGTCGAGGAAGGCGGTTGGTGTAAAGGGCCGACAAGAGCAGCAGACCATTTTCAGAGAGCTGTGAATCACAGGGCCTCTGTGGAGGTACAAGACATTGAAACTTGTAATGACTCCCTGGTTTCTCATTTCAGCTTGATGTGGTAACCGTGGTGACATGAGGTCCTTGATGTCAGTGGTGACACATATCAAAAGGAGAAACTACAAAACAAACTGTAACTGGCATTTATAACACTGCAGAAAATGCTCCTGAAAGTCCTTCAGTGTTTCATGAGCAGTCTGAAAACCAATCAAAAATACTGAGATGAGGTGAACTGGATGTTTAGTATGCACTTTCACTTCGTTGACGACGCAAAAAATTGTGTTAATCAACCACCCAAACCGGACTTGACTCACAAACTGCCAACTTTATGCATTACAGTAGCACTGTTGTCAGGATCAAGGACTGAGACAATTAGGACTGAGTGCACGGCACTCTCCAAGGTGTGTGTGTGTGTCTGTTTAACAGAGAGAGCGACAGACAGAGGAGAAGAGAAGGTGTAAGGAGGACTACTGAATGTTATTGTGGGGCTAGGTATTGATAAATCACTCACAACCTTTGATATTTATATAATGATATAACCCCCAAACAAACAAACAAAAACGGCAGTCCGCCCAGCAGATGAGAGTAGATATTGATCTTTGATGCTGGCAAATCTTCATGATGACAGTGACTAACTTGGCTGCTAAAAGGGGTACCACTTCGTCCATCTGGCAGCCTTAAGTTTCCCTGGTATATACAGTAAATCAGAATTGTATGTAAAATGTCATGAAATACTGAACACTGCCCATCATCAGTTCCCAGGTGCTCGTCTTGTCTAGTAAACAAACAAATACCCACCTAGAGACCATTTTGCGATGGATCACTCCAGCCGCAATCCAGCGTTTTGATCATTTTGATCTCAACTACACACTTGTGAAGTTTCGTGACTCTGTGTCTTTCCTGGTTGTGATATTCTCGAGTTGAAAAATTCTGTCCACAGACAGACAGACAGACGTATAAACACCTAGCAAAAATACTCCCAATGACTTCTGTGGTAGCTCCTGTTACAGCTGGAGTCACCAGGACCACATTTTGCTACGATGACACACACAGACTCAGTGGGTGAAAACAATACCAGCCATCACTACACTGAAGCAGCTGGAAAAATTATTGATTTATTGTTTCACGACTACAGTGGGTTTAAAATACTTTTTAATATGAAATATATAATTTTTCAGCACAAACTTCTTCTGACTTCTGTTCATGCCATTTTCAATCTCCTGTTACTCTTTTGTAATGGTTCTTCCATGTCTTTTTTCTCTCATGTCTCTCTCTCTCTCTCTCATCATTGCCTCTATGATTTCTCCTTTTCTGTCTTTGCTTTCACCATTTTTCTCAGACGTAACCTGATCATTCCCTCCCCACCCTAATACGGAGCCAGTGAGGTGAAGAAATACAAGATGGAGTCAAAATTCACAGCCTCCATCCCAAGGCCTCCATTCCTCCTCCACATCTGCGTCCTCCTCTCTCACGTCCACTAGTCCCCAGACAGAAAAACAAGTGGTGAGGAAGACAGTCATCTACTTCCATTATCCTTGCACTTAGCAACAAACAGAGGTGATTCCAGATTGTGTTGGGGCCAAGCTGCCTCTGCAGAACTCATTTGTAAAGACTGACACCCAGATGATGACTTTGGTGGTGTAATTTACGGCTGACAGGACCACATATTGAGCTATGGAAGAGAGCCGCTTGACTTTGACATATACTGCCCTGATGACACCTCTAATAGCACATCAGCCACTCCTGCATGGTTTATACTGAGGCCTTGGGAGCAAGAGTCACATTTGTCCTGATGCCGTCCATGTTGAATATCTCGCTCAGAGCAGAACTGGATGGTAAAAGGACACTGAACAATCCCTCTTAGAAACATACTAAAGCAAAATAAGTTAAATAAGCCAGGGAAAAAATATTTTCTCTCAAAAGTCAGACCTTGGCTTTACCGTCTGAATATCTGATCAAAAGGAGCACGATGTCTGGTGGTGATGCAGTCACACAAGGTTAAATTTGGTTTTATTCTGTAAATGACCAGA